CCCGTGCAACAATTTTGCATGTTCTTCACATGTACCCCAAAACCTAAAATGCAATAAAATAAATAAATGGGGAGAAAAAAATTTTTTTTCTGTACATGGGTAATTCTCCGATGGAAGTCTTCTAATTTGTCAAGACATTTCTTTGTATGTAGACCCATCGAAGTCTATGAATACACTCCAATTGTTTCACTTGTTACAATGTACTTATGGAATATAATCAATTTGATTCCCATGTGGGTTCCATACATATGGCATGATACAAATATTCTAAAGTGTATGGTAGACAGTGTGGCAAGTTATAGATGCCATTCAGCTGCAAGTAATAGAAAGTCAAACAAAAATAGTGCCTGTTAATTTATTAAGGGATGCTCTAAATTAAAAGATGTAAAATGTGATAATGAACTCATAAGATGGAGTGGGGACAAGGGCTAGAATAAAACTGGAATTTTGGCTGGGTACAGTGGTTCACAATGGCTCCCAGCACTTTTGAAGGCCAAGGCAGGTGGATCATCTGAGGTCAGGAGTTCAAGACCAGGCTGGCCAACGTGGTGAAACCTCTTCTCTGCTATAAATACAAAAACTAGTTGACTGTGGTGGCAGGCACCTGCAGTCCCAGGTACTCAGGAGGCTGAGGCAGGAGAATTGCTTGACTCCAGGAGGCAAATGTTGCAGTGAGCTGAGATCACACCACTGCACTCCAGTATGGGTGACAAAGTGAGACTTTGTCTCAAACAAACAAATAAATAAACAGTGGAATTTTGATATGTGGTCAAAGTTATGAGCTTACAATAGCTTGTTATAACTATGAGGTTTTGAGAAAATTTTTTTTCTTTTTTTTTTTTTTTTGAGACAGTCACTCTCTGTGACCCAGGTGGAGTGCAGTGATGCAATCTCAGCTCACTGCAGCCTCCTCCACCCAGGGTCAAATAATTTCTATTAACATCCTCATTTAAAATTCAGCCTCCTCCTCAGCCTCCTGAGTAGATGGGACCACAGAAGCATGCCACCATGCCCTGCTAACGCTGTGTGTGTGTGTGTGTGTGTGTGTGTGTGTGTGTGTGTGTGTGTTTGTGTGTATTTTTGTAGAGATAGCATTTTGCCATTTTGCCCAGGCTGGTCTCAAACTCCTGGGCTCAAGCAATCCACCAGCCTCAGCCTCCCAAAATGCTGAGATGCTTGAGGGGATGGATACCCCATTATGTGATTATTATGCATTGCATACCTATATTAAAATATTTCGTGTACCCCAGAAATACATACACCTATGATGTACCTACAAAAATTTAAAAAAGGGAAATTTAAAAATATTTTTATTTTTAAATTGGTATGCAGCAAAAGTCACTTTAAGAGAAAAGTTTATAGTAATAAATGACTTCATCAAAGAAGAAAAAAACAAACAGAATTATACAAGAAAAAAACAAACCCATTCAAAAGTGGGCAAAGGATATGAACAGACACTTTACAAAAGAAGACATATATGAGGTCAAAAACATGAAAAAATGCTCATCATCACTGGTCATTAGAGAAATGCAAATCAAAACCACATTGAGATACCATCTCATGCCAGTTAGAATGATGATCATTTAAAAATCTGGAGACAACACATGCTGGAGAGGATATGGAGAAATAGGAACACTCTTACACAGTTGGTGGGAGTGTAAATTAGTTCAACCACTGTGAAGACAGTGTGGTGATTTTTCAAGGATCTAGAAATAGAAATTCCATTTGACCCAGCAATCCCATTACTGGGCATATACCCAAAGGACTATAAATTGTTCTACTATAAAGACACATGCACACATATGTTCATTGCAGCCCTGTGTACAATAGCAAAGACCTGGAACCAACCCAAATGCCCATCAATGATAGACTGGACAAAGAAAATGTGGCAAATATACACCATGGAATACTACACAATCATAAAAAATGATGAGTTTGTGTCCTTTTTAGGGACTTGGGTGAATCTGGAAACCATCATTCTCAGTAAACTGACACAAGAACAGAAAACCAAACACCATATGTTCTCACGCATAGGCAGGTGTTGAACAGTGAGAACACATGGACTCAGGGAGAGGAGCATCACATACTGGGGACCGTTGGAGGGGGCTAGGGGAGGGACAGCAGGGGGTGGGGAGGGATAACATGGAGAGAAATGCTGGATATAGTCAAAGGGGGAATAGAGGCAGCAAACTACCTGGTTATGTATGCACCTATGCAACAACCGTGCATGACCTGCACATGTACCCCAGAACCTAAAGTAAAATAAAAATTAAAAAAAAAAACACTTAAACGAAAGAAAAAATATGAAACTACTATTAAAAATATATAGGAAATCCTTCATGAAATTGGTCTAGGCAAGGATTTTTGACTAAGACCTCAAAAGCTCAGATAACAAAAGTACAAATAGACAAATAGGATGACATTAAACTAAAAGGCTTGTGCACAGATAATAAAATAACTGACAGACTGAAGAAACAAGTTTCACAGTGAAAGAAAATATTTTCAAACTATACATCTGAAAAGGGGCCATTCAGAATATATTAAAAAGCTCAATAGCAAGAAAACAAATAAAAACTCAAGCAAAAAAAATTAATAAATGGGCAAAAGACCTGAGGAGACATTTTTTCAAATAAAACATACAAGTAGCCAAAAATACATGAAAAGTGCTCAAAAGGACTAATCACCAGGAAAATGCACATCAAAGCCACAATGAGATACCACCGCATCTCATTAGAATGGCTATTATCAAAAAGACAGGAAAAGAATAATAATCCCAGCTACTCCAGAGGCTGAGACTAGAAGACAACTTTAACCCATGAGGTGGAGGTTTCAGTGAGCCAAGATTGCACCACTGCACTCCAGCCTGGGCAACAAGAGTGAAACTCGGTTCAAAAAAAAGAGAAAAGAATAATAACAATGGCTGACAAGAATGTAGATAAAGATAAAATCTTGTACATTGTTGGTGGAATGTAAATGAGTATAACCATTATGAAAAATAGTACAGAGGTTCCTAAAAACATAAAAGATAGAACTAGTACATGATTCAGCAATCCTACTACTATTTAGCAAAAGTAAATGACAACTGTATATCAGAGATATCTTCAGTCTCATGTTTATTGCAGCACCATTCACAATAACCAAGATATGATATTAGTCTAAGTCTCCATCAATGGATGAATGAATTTTTAAATGTGGTACATCTACACAATGGAAAAATATTCAACCAGATACAAGAAGGAAATCCTGTGATTTGCAGCAAAATGAAGGAACCTGAATGACATCGTGTTAAGTGAAAGAAGCCAGACACAGAAAGACAAATACCACATGACATCATTCACATGAGGAATAAAAAAAAAAATTGATCTCATAGAATTAGAGAACAGAATAGTGACTACCAGAAGCTGTGACAGCTGTGGAAGGAGGGTGGGGAGATGTGTCTCAAAGGATACTAAATTGAAGTTAGAAAGAATACATTCATGAGATAGAGTACAACATGGATACTTTATACTTAATGATCATATATTGTATTATCAAAACATACTAAGGGATGTTGTGTTCTCACCGCAAAAATGACAACAATGTGAGGTAAAACATAGATAAATTACCTGAATTTAACATTCTATAATGTAGCTAGACCTCAAAACATTCTTTTTGACATGATAAATACATACCAATTTACCCATCAATTAAAAAAATTATTAAATACATTTTGAAAAATTAAAATAATTTTATAAGGTGCTAATCTTAGGGCAACTTGCATAAAGAGATCCAAATACATCTCTTACAGCAACCAAATATTTTATAAATGAGTAATGATATGACAGCTGTTGACCTGTTTTAAACATATGAAATTTCTTATTGTTTTGGTAAAAGCATCATAAAGCCCAAGAATGTAGTACCTATGGTTTTCTATCAGAACATAGTTCACCCCTTGTTGAAGAGGGGAATAGCAATTTTCTGGAGGTATCAAGGGCTTGGTTCATATCACAAGTCAGATTATTGGAGACCCAAGAGACCTAGTCAAGACAAGTTCCTCACTTTGGAAAAAACTTTCCTCTAGGGTTTGAGTTAAGGTGTTAGGAGGTTAGGTCTCTGGAAGTAAAGCAAGTCCATGGAGAAGGAGTAATGAAGGCTGCATTAACCTCAGATTCAATATGGTGTCTTGGGAACAGAGCATGCAGAAAAAAATTTCTTTCAATGCAGGGGAAAATCCCAAAGGAAAATGATGTAATCAGGTTGGAATAACAAGAGGAAATGTGCCTCAGGTTTACAAAGCTGTAAATTTTGTACAGATTTACAAAGCTGTCAATTTCTCCCCTGCTGCTGCTGCTCAGCATATGCAACCTTGGGTTCAATGAGACATGGTTGTTTCCTTTGGAGTCCTTGCTCTGACTCAGCTACCGATGCTTTCCTGTCTCTTACTGTCTCAGGACAAAGCTTCAGTCTCCATCATTGACCATCCGGGGAGGTAGTCACACATCCACGTGGATGCCTTCCTCTCAGAAGACCCAACGAGGTGAGTCCAAGAACCCAGTAGGTACTGTAGGAAAGGATCAGGGAGAACGCAGTCCACAAACATGGACTCAAAGTCATCTGAGAGCCAACCCAGCCAAGCCCAGAGAAGAGAAATTGCTTTGGTTGTTGGCTCGCTTGCTTGATAAAGTATTTGATTCATGTAATTGTTTATGATGCTAAAAAGAGAAGTGAACATAGAACTCAGCAAAGAGGGTGATTCCTGACAGTTAAGTAATGGTCACGGAGGCCCATGGATGAGGAAATGGGAGAAATAAAGTGGTTCCAGTAAAAGTAGAATATATGCCCAAGGATTTTGCAAATAAGTGGAAAGAGAAAAAAAGTAGTAGCTGTGGAGGGATATATAACTATGTATATAAATATTTATATTTAAAAAAAATAAAAATAAATATTTATATTAAAATATTTTTATAAATATATGAAAATATTTTTTTCCCATTTATTTTACTGCATTTTAGGTTTTGCGGTACATGTGAAGAACATGCAAGATTGTTGCATAGGCACACACGTGGCAGTGTGATTTGCTGCCTTCCTCCCCATCACCTACATCTGGCTTCTCTCCCCTTGCTATCTCTCCCCAGCTCCCCGCCCCCCACCATCCCTCCCCTATTTCCCCCCAACTGACCCCAGTGTGTAGTGATCCCCTCCCTGTGTCCATGTGTTCTCATTGTTCAACACCCACCTATGAGTGAGAACATGCGGTGTTTGATCTTCTGCTCTTCTGTCAGTTTGCTGAGAGTGATGGTTTCCAGGTTCATCCATGTCCCTACAAAGGGCCCAAACTCATCATTTTTGATGGCTGCATAATATTCCATGGTGTATATATGCCACATTTTCCCCATCCAGTCGATCATATCAAAATTTACTTTATATTCCTCAAATGCATGAAAGATTTTCTCATCAGTACTGTACAGTACAGTACACTCCTTCAGGGAAAGGCTGAGAGTGGGACAGGAATTCCTAATCCAAGATGGCAAGAGGATCCCCTGGTCGGCACCAGATTCACACACAAACTACGCACAATTAACTTCCTGTAGAATGGCGGTTACCAGAGGCTGGGGGTGCTGGGAGGGTAGGTTGGAGACGTGTTGGTCAGAGGACACAAAATTACAGTTAGACAGGAAGAGTGAATTCTTGTAGAATGGAGATTATCAGAGGATGGGAGGGTTGCTGGGGAGAGCTGGGGAGATGTTGGTCAAAGGATACAAAATTAAGCTAGACAGATTTTGTTCAAGAGATCTATTGTACAGCATGGTTCTAATGGTATTGTAATCATACACATAAAACCATTAATAGTAATATAATATAGTTAATAGTAATATATTGTATTTTGAAAAATGCAAAGGGAATATTAAGTGTTCTCATCAGACACAATGACTATGTAAGATGATCACTGGCTATATTTAGCCATTCCACAGTGTAAACATACTTCAAAACATCATGGTGGACATGATAAAGACGCTCTATTTTATCTGCCAACTTAAAAAAATCAACTTTAAAAAATAAAAAACCATAGCTTCTTCACTGTAGAATATCTGTAACAGCATTTCTGGTAGGTTTGTAATGCATGTGAGTGTCATGTTCTTTTCTCTTTTTGGTAGAAACACCAACCAGATGAAAGCAGGGAATGATACACAAATTTCAGAATTCCTTCTTCTGGGAATTTCAGAGAAACCAGAATTTCAGCCCTTCCTCTTTGGGCTGTTCCTGTCCATGTACCTGGTCACTGTGCTCGGGAACCTGCTCATCATCCTGGCCATCAGCTCAGACTCCCACCTCCACACCCCCATGTACTTGTTTCTCTCTAACCTATCCTTTGCTGACATCTGTTTCACGTCCACGACCATCCCAAAGATGCTGGTGGATATCCGAACAGAAAGCAAAATGATCACTTTTGCAGGCTGCCTCACCCAGATTTTTTTTTTCGTTGCATTTGGATGCCTGGACAATTTACTCTTGACCGTGATGGCCTATGACCGGTTTGTGGCCATCTGTCACCCCCTGCACTACACGGTCATCATGAACCCCCGACTCTGTAGACTGCTAGTTCTGGGGTCCTGGTGCATCAGTGTCATGGTTTCCATGCTCGAGACCTTGACCATTTTGAGGCTGTCCTTCTGCACAAACATGGAAATTCCACACTTTTTTTGTGATGTTCTCGAAGTCCTGAAGCTTGCCTGTTCTGAAACCCTTGTCAATAACATCGTGATATATTTTGTGACAATTGCAATGGGTGTTTTTCCTCTCTCTGGAATCCTATACTCTTATTCTCAGATTTTCTCCTCCATCCTGAGAGTATCACCTGCCCGAGGCCAGCACAAAGCCTTTTCCACCTGTGGGTCTCACCTCTCAGTGGTCACCCTGTTCTATGGCACGGGCCTTGGGGTCTATCTCAGTTCTGCAGCTACACCATCTTCTAGGACAAGTCTGATGGCCTCGGTGATGTACACCATGGTCACCCCCATGCTGAACCCCTTCATCTACAGCCTGAGGAACAGGGACATAAAGGGGTCCCTGGGGAGACTCCTCCTCAGGGCAACAACTCTCAATAAGGGGACCACTGCCAAACTCTCATGAATAGCGGTGAACACAATATTGAGGCCAGATTGGCCTCCTTTAGCCAATATTTTGACCTCTGCTTTTATGCATTTGGAGTGGGGCAGGGAAGGCGTCTCACTCTGTTGCCCAGGCTGCAGTGCAGTGGCACAATCTCAGCTCACTGCAACCTCCGTCCCCCAGGTTCAAGTGATTCTTCTGCCTCAGCCTCCTGAGTAGGTGGGATTACAGGCATGAGCCACCAGGCCTCACTGATTTTTGTATTTTTAGTAGAGGTGGAGTTTTGTCATGTTGGCCTGGCTGGTCTCGAACTCCTGACCTCAGGTAATCTGCCTGCCTTGGTCTCCCAACATGCTGGGATTACAGGCAGTAAGCCACTGCACCTGGCCTTCTTTTATACATTTTAAAGCATTTCTTCCTTTGGAAACTTTTCCTGCCCTTGCTACTGCTAATAAAGTTATGTAGGATCACCCTTTTTGACTTTCTAACCAGTAATTTTAACTTTGTATGAATATGATCTGGCATTTTCTCAGTTATCTTCAGTAATGATGTTTTTTTTTCTGTTTTTTGGGTATGTTTGTTGTTGTTGATTTTGAGATGGAGTCTCCCTCTGTTGGCCGGGCTGGAGTGCAGTGGCGTAATCTCAGCTCACTGCAACCTCCACTGCCCAGGTGCAAGTGATTCCTCTGCCTCAGCCTTCTGAGTAGCTGGGACTACAGATGTGCACCACCACACCTGGCTAATGTTTGTATTTTTAGTAGAGACAAGGTTTCACCATGTTGTCCAGGCTGGTCTCGAACTCCCAAACTCAAACGATCTGCCTGCCTCGGACTCCCAAAGTGCTGGGGTTTATAGGCGTGAGCCACTGTGCCTGGCCTGATTTGGGTTTAAAAAGAAAATCAAATCTGACATGTTAAATATATATTCTCAGAAGCGATGGGATATGTCCCTATTTTTGAAATGTTGCCCTGGAAACTCATTTACAGAGATGTTTTTTGAGGTTATGTGAATAAAAATAACTCAAAGACTTCCCTCCTTTTTTATCTGATTCACTTTCCTTTCAGTCATACCAACTTAACTTTTCTACTCCTTCATAATATGGGTTTCTTGAATTTCAGAGCAATGACTTACCATTTTTGTAATCACAATGGCTAGCACAGCCATTGGTAAAGAGTTCATGTTTACATGCTATTTGTCAAATGGAGTAGAAAAATAGATGGTTGGATGACTAAATATAAAATAAGATCTGGACCAGAAAAATACAAATTCATTAACCTGGTTAGAGCTTTTAGCCAGGCATGGTGCTGCATGCCTGTAGTTTCAGCTACTCAGGAAGCTGAGGCAGGAGAATGGCTTGAACCCAGGAGGTTGGGGCTGCAGTGAGCCATGATTATGCCACTGGACTCCAGCCTGGGTGACAGAGTGAGCCCCTGTCTCTAATTAATTAATTAATTAATTAATTAAGTTTTGGAGCTAGAAACAGAATTCAAGGTTATTGATGTTGATTTTTTATATATGTTGAACTTTCTATTTATTTTTATTTTTATTTTTATCATACTTTAAGTTCTGGAGTACATGTGCAGATCACGCAGGATTGCTACATAGGTATACACATGCTATGGTAGTTTGCTGCTTCCATCCCCCCGTCACCTACATTAGGTATTTCTTCTAATGTTATCCCTCCCCAATCTCCCCACCCCCTGCTGTCCCTCCCTTAGCCTCCCAGCTCCCAACAGACCCCGGTGTGTGATGTTCCCCTCCCTGTGTCCATGCGTTCTCATTGTTCAACACCTACTTATGAGTGAGAACATGCGGTGTTTGGTTTTCTGTTCTTGTATCAGTTTGCTGAGAATGATGGTTTCCAGCTTCATCCATGTCCCTGCAAAGGACATGAACTGATATAAGTAACACTTTATATACCAAAACAGTTTAAGAGCTTTATGTACATTGCCTCATTTCATTTCTCCAATAACTCTTTTATGTAATTAGTTTTATTTCCCATATTGACAAATAAGAAAGTAAGAGCTTATGGTAAGTAGGTAACTAGCTCAAGGTAATGAATGTGTGAGAAGCTTCAAATGTAGGGTTGTATGAATCAGACAGCTGTCCCAGGCGTTATGTTATGTTACTGTAGAGTCCTCATTAGGGAAAAGGATTCAGGCTGGCCAGACCAAGGGAAAGCAAAAAGAAGAAGCAGATAAGCTACGAGTCTGCCTTTCTTCGTGGTCCCGGACACAAAGCCCTCCTGTACAAATTACTCACTATCTTCCTGCACTCAGCTATCACCAGACCCTCGGCTGATACAAAAATTGCAAGTTAGCTCACTGCAACCTTGGCGTTATCAATACTGTACAAAGCCCTCTTCAGCACACAGCACAAGCACTGTCCTATAAAATCCCCAGCAAGCTTTTGTCTCTTTGCAGTCAGCTCCTCTATTGCTGACCTGCCCATTGCTTCCTTGCAATGTATTTTCATACTTTCTCCAATCAATCTGCCTTTCCTTACCTACAACTGTGTTGGTAGATTCTTCTTATCCTCCACACCACCAGCCCCAGATAGTCGCCACTTACCCATGACAGTTATCTCTAGTCAAACCTTCTAATAATAATAGTCAAATCTCAAAGGAACCAGGAGTTCTCTGACATAAATTCTTACTTCTGGAATTATACTCCCCAACAAAGAAATACTCTGTGTCTGGGGGCCGCAGCCTTAGAAGTAAATTAAACCCGACCCAGCAATCCCATTACTGGGTATATACTGAAAGGATTATAAATCGTTCTATTATAAAGGCACATGCACACATACATTCATTGTAGTGCTGTTTACAATAGCAAAGACTGGGAACCAACCCAAATGCCCATCAATGGTAGACTGGATAAAGAAAATGTGGCACATATACACCATGGAATACTATGCAGCCATAAAAAAGGGTGAGTTCATGTCCTTTGCAGAGACATGGATGAAGCTGGAAACTATCATCTTCAGTCCTCAGCAAACTGACACAAGAACAGAAAACCAAACACCGCATGTTCTCACTCATAAGTGGGTGTTGAACAGTGAAAACACACGGGCACAGGGAGGAGAACATCACACACCTGGGTCTGTCAGGGGTTGGGGAGGCTAGGGGAGGGATAGCAGAGGGTGAGGGGATTGGGGAAGGATAACATTAGGAGAAACACCTAATGTAGATGACGGGGGATGGATGGAGGAAACCACCATGGCATGTGTATACCTATGTAACAATCCTGCACAATCTGCACATGCACCCCGGAACTTTAATAATAAAAAGTAAACAAAAAAGCAAATTAAACCCATACATAAGATTTATTGTTTCCTTTGATATTTTAATTTGACTTTCTTTGGTTGTTCATGAAAATGAGCACATTTTTGTGCTTGATCTTTTTGTGTACGATATTTTTATAGTAACTCTTTTTTCCAGTTTTACTGAGGTATAATTGAGAAATTAAAATTGTACATATTCAAGGTGTATAGTATGATGATTTGATATATGTATACATTGTGTACTGACTGACTTACATTTATTTTTACTAAATTTTGAGTTTACCTCCTTTGATCATTCATAATTTTAGATTTTTAAAAATTCTAGTTGACTTAGTTTTTGAATTTTTATTCTTAGTCATTATGGATACATAATAGTTGTACATATTTATGGGCTTTGTATGAAACTTTTACACAAACATACTTGTATAATAATCAAATCAAGGTAATTGAGGTATCTATCGCTTCACGCATTTATCATTTCTGTGTGTTATAAACATTCCAATTCCACTCTTTTAGTTATTTTGAAATATACAATAAATTGCTAAGCATAGTCACCCTATTATGCTACTAAATACTAGATTTTATTCTTTCTAACTGTATTTTTGTACCCATTATCCTTTTTTTATTCTCCCTCCCTACTACCCCTCCTAGCTTCTGGTAACCATCATTCTACTCTGTTTCCATGAGTTCAGTTTTTTCAGCTCCCACATATGAGCGAGAACATGTAATATGTGTTTTTCTTGCCTGGCTTATTTCTTTTCTTGTTGTTTTGTTTTTGTATTTTTGAGATAGACTTACGCTCTTGTCACCCAGACTAGAGCACAATGGTGAGATCTCGGCTCACTGCAACCTCCACCTCCCAGATTCAAGCTATTCTTCCTGCCTCAGCCTCCCGAGTAGCTGGGATTACAGGCACCCACCACCACACCCAGCTAATTTTTGTATTTTTAGTAGAGATGGGGTTTCACCATGTTGGCCAGGCTGATCTTGAAATCCTGACCTTAGGTGATCTGCCTGCCTCAGCTTCCCAAAGTGCTGGGATTACAGGTGTGAGCCACCACGTCCAGCCGCCTAGCTTATTTCATTTAACACAATTTCCTGCAGTTCCACCCATGTTGTTGCAAATCATAGGATCTCTCATCATTTTTTATGACTGAATAGTGCTCCATTGTGTACATGTGACACATTTTCTTTTTCCATTCATTGGTTGATGAACACTTAGTTTGATTCCAAATCTTAGCTATTGTGAATAGTGCTGAAATAACTATGAGAGTGCAGATATATCTTTGATGTATATGTTTCTTAAATATTTTCCATAGCTTTCCATTCATCTTTTATTATCTTTACCGTTTTACCTGCAGATGTCTCACATGTTTGAGTCCATCAATTATTTTCTCTGTCTTCCTTTTTCTTTCTTCTATCTGGATTTCTGCTCAGAGGATTAATCTCTCCTTTTTTCTAGAAGTCTACTGCTATTTCACATTTTTCCTCCAACTTCATTCTATTATGGTGGTTGATGTTAAGACAGGAATTTAACTTGATTTTGCTCCCCAATTAATAATGAATTATCCAAGTACCAGTTTTTCAACATCTTTTCTTTCCTCGGTTTTTTTTTTTTTTTTTTTTTTTTTTTTTTTTTTTTTTTTTTTTTTTTTTTTTTTTTTTTGAGACGGAGTTTCACTCTTGTCGCCCAGCCTGGAGTGCAATGGTACAATCTCAGCTCACTGCAACCTCCACCTTCTGAGTTCAAGTGATTCTCCTGCCTCAGCTTCCCAGGCAGCTGGGATTACAGGTGTGCACCACCACACCTGTAATTTTTGTATTTTTGTATTTTTAGTAGAGACGGGGTTTCATCATGCTGGCCAGGCTGGTCTCAAACCCCTGACCTCAAGTGGT